TGGATACTAACAATAATCCATGTCTTTCAATGATACTCTGCCAAGGATATTAAGTCAAAAGACATATTCCATTTTGTTGATTAGAATACATTCTGAGATGACCGTCTCAGAATTAAATCTCAAAGCCCTAGAAATAGAAACAAAAGAAACAGTTAAAAAAATTGACCAAAGGAATGTTGGTGCTTTGAAAAAAATAAATAAAATTGATAAACCCTTAGTCACACTAACAAAAAGAAGGAGAGAGAAAAYTCAAATTTCTAAAATTCATGATGTAAAAGGAAATATCATGATGGACACTACTGAAATACAGAAGATAATTAGAAACTGTTTTGAAAATTTATACTCCMATAAAATAAATAAGCTCAAAGACATTGACAAATTTTTAGAAACACGTGATCTACCTAGACTGAATTAGGAGGACATACACAATTTAAACAGATCAATTTCAAGCAAGATGCCATCAAAGCCTGCCAACCAAGAAAAGCCTGAGACCAGAATTCTCAGCCAAATTCTACAAGACTTTAAAAGAAGAAATAATATCAATACTCCTCATATTATTTCATGAAATATAAAAGGAGGGAACTCTTTCAAACTCATTCTATGAGACTTGCATCACCTTGATACCAAAACCAGGCAAAGACATGTCAAGGAAAGAAAACTTCAGAACAATATCTCTGATGAACATAGATGCAAAAATTCTCAGTAAAATTCTGGCAAATCACATATAAGAACATATCAAAAAGATCATGCACCACGATCAAGTGGGGTTCAACCAGGGATGCAAGGTGGGTTCAACCCAGGGATGCAAGGTTGTTTCAACATATAGAAATCAACAAATATAATACATCACATCAATAGACATAAAGACAAGAATCATATGATTATCTCAATAGATGCTGAAAAAGCACTTGACAAAATACAGCACCTCTTCATGTTCAAAACACTAGAAAAACTAGGAATAGTAGGAACATTCTTCAACATTGTAAAATCTATCTACTCTAATCCCAAGGCCAACATCATTCTAAATAGAGAAAAATTAGAAGCATTCCCTCTAAAAACTGGAACAAAACAGGGATACCCTCTTTCACCACTTCGATTCAACATGTTCCTTGAAACTCTAGCCAGAGCAATCCAGCAAAAGAAATTAAAGGGATTCATATAGGAGAAGAAGACTCAAAACTATCACTATTTGAGACGACATGATTCTGTATTTTAAAGATCAAAAAAATTCCACCAGAAAACTTCTAGATTTAATAAATGAATTCAGCAAAGTAGCGGGATATAAAATCAATACTCATAAATCAGAAGCATTTCTATACATCAGTGATGAATCCACTGAAAGAGAAATTAAGAAAAGTACCCCATTCAAAATAGCCTCAAAAAAGATAAAATACTTGGGAATCAATCTAACAAAAGAGGTGAAAGACCTCTACAAGGAAAACTACAGAACAGTAAAAGAAGAAATTGAAGAAGATCTTAGGAAATAGAAAGATCTCCATGCTCCTGGTTAGGCAGAATTAATATTGTCAAAATGGCCACATTATCAGAAGTGCTATACAGATTTAATTGTATTACTAATTAAAATTCCAATGACACTCTTCAAAGGACTAGAAAAAAGCAATCATGAGATTTATTTGGAAAAATAAGAGACACAGAATAGCCAAAGCAATCCTTAACAAGAAAAGTGAAGCAGGAGGCATCACCATATTCTTCCGAGCCATAGTAACAAAAAYGACATGGTATTGGCACCAAAATAGACATGTAGACCAGAGGTACAAAATAGAAGACATAGAGATAAACCCACATAAATACAGTTACCTCATACTAGACAAAGGCGCCAAAAACATACATTGGAGAAAAGATAGCTTCTTCAACAAATGGTGCTGGGAAAACTGGAAATCCATATGTAGCAAAATGAAATTAAATCCCTATCTCCCATCATGCACCAAACTCAAAGTGGATCAAGAACCTAGGAATTAGACCAGAGACCCTGCATCTAATAGAAGAAAAAGTAGGCCCAAATCTTCCTCATGTCAGATTAGGCCTCAATTTCCTTAACAAGTTGCCTAAAGTGCAAGAAAGAAAATTAAGAATTAATAAATTGGATTAATTCAAACTAAAAATTTTCTTCTGAGCAAAAGAAACAATTGATGATGTAAAGAGAGAGCTTACAGAGTTGGAGAATATCTTTACCACATACACATCAGATAGAGCACTAATATATATTTTAATATATATAAAGAACTTAAAAAACTTAACACCAAAAAACCCCAAATAACCCCAAAACAAAGGACTAAGGAACTGAACAGACAATTCTCAGAAGAAGAAATACAATTGATCAAGAAATATATGAAAAATTATCTCTAGTAATTAGAAAAATGGAAATCAGAACTACTCTAAGATTTCATTTAACTCCAGTAAGAATTACAGTTATCAAGAATAAAAGCAACAATAAGTGTTGGTGAGGGTGTGGGGAAAAGGTACACTGATACATCGCTGCAAATTGGTGCAAGCACTCTGGAAAGCAGTATGGAGATTCCTTAAGAAAACTTGAAATGGAACCCCCTCATTTGACCCAGCTATCCCAGTCCTTGTTCTATACTTAAAGGACTTAAAAACAGCATACTAAAGTGATGCAGAGACACCAGTGTTTATAGTAGCACAATTCACAATAGTTAAACTGTGGAACCTATCTAGATGCCCATCAATAGATATAAAGAAACTGTGATCTATATACATAATGGAATATTGCTCAGCATTAAAAGAGAATAAAATTATGGCATTTGCTGGTAAATGGATGGAATAAGCCAATCCCAAAACAGTAAAGGCAGAATGTTTTCTCTGATTAGTGGATGCTGATCCTTAATGCTGGGTGCATGGGAAGAATGGAGGAACTTTGAATTGGCCAAGTGGGGAGGTTCCCGTGGGGAGAGGGACTGGGGCTAGGAAAGATGGTGGAACGAGATGGACATCATTACCCTAGATAATGATTGCACAAATGGTGTGACTCTACATCATGTGCAACCAGAGAATCAAAAAGTTGTGCTCCATTTGTGTACATTGAATTGAAATGCATTCTGCTATCATATATAACTAAGTAGAATAAATTTATAAAAAAAAGAATACATTCTGTGGATTGTTATCCTAAGGGTTTATAGCAAACCTCTGTGTAAGTTTTCTTTTTGTTTCAGACTATTTGCCAATGTATCATTCATCTCCTTTGTTTGATTTTGATTTGCATTTTGTATTTGATTCTTTTATTGTTTAGCAACAATACGTTATATAGATTGTTAGGCACTTTTATGTTTTTGGTTTATTATTTCTAAATCTAATGGGAATTCTGTTGTTACCAAATTGTATTTTGAAACTACTTCTTGGTATAATAGTAGTTTTTTTCTGATATATGATAAATTCAGGCTTACTTGTATTAAACAAACCAGGGTTATTGAGATAATTACTTGGTATTAGCAAGGCAGATCACCTTGATTGTGAGGAGAAAAACATCAGTAGACATGATTTCTTTTTGACAAGCTATGGGGTGTTATTTATTGTGAAATTCAAGCCAGGCTGGGCTAGGCTTGTGTATCCTCATGCAAGAATACTTTACTAAAGGCACCAAGCCTAAGCTGTTGATTTGTGTAGACGTATTACTGGTTGCCAGACATGAGAGATATTTATAATTTAAGGCTTGTTAAATTTAAAAAAATTATATATACATTGTTAGAATAATTCAAAATGAATGGGTTTTAAATGTCAGTACTCATAGTACTACTCATTGGTTCTCCAAAATGGTCAGCCTGCTTTATAAAAATCTTATTCCAATAACTAATCAAAGAACTTGGACAACTCTTTAGTAATATTGTGAAGAGCAGTCATTATAAATCAAATTGGTAACTTTTTTATCTTATTTTATCTGTTTCAGATTGCTGTGCTATGCTTTGCATGACTAAGACGTCTTACCATTCCTGAAGGACAGACTATGTGAGTACAGAGACTCTACAGATTGCAGTGAATCCGTACTGATCATCAGCAAAACAAACAAACTGAAAAACCCAATATGACCCCCCTCCAAAACTCTTATCACAGATAAAACCCAAGGCATTAATATCTAGTTTCTTTGTTATATTTATTCTAGATGAGATAGGAAACCCATCTCTTGTCACATGATTTTATTATTATAAAACAAATAATGAAATTTTTGTCAGCTCATAATCAGGTTACTTATAATAACCAATTATAAGAAGTATAATTGGAAATATGTGTATTAGTCAGTTTTTGTTACTATAACAAAATACCTGAAAAAGTGTATTTATTTTTTAAAAGAGGTTTATTTAGCTCATAGTTTTGGAGGTTCAAGGGCATGATGACTGCATCATCTTGGTTCTGTTGAAGACCTCATGGCAGATGGAATCACAATTGTGGGAATACACATGTGAGGGAAGAGACTTAAGTCCAGAAGCTGGCATGGCCAGGCTTGTTTTCTTTTCTTTTTCTTTCTTTTTTTTTTTTTTTGTACTGGGAATTGAATCCAGTGGTGCTTAACCACAGAGCCACATTTTATAAAATTTTGAGACAGGATCTTGCTAAGTTGCTTAGAATCTCATTCAGTTGCTGAAGCTGGCCTTAAACTTGTGATCCCATTGCCCCAAGCCTCCTAAATTGCTCGGATTACAGGTGTGCCTCTCCACCCAGCTTGGTTTTATATGTATAAAATAAGTACTCTGTTGGGAACTAACTGGGGTCGCAGGAGAAATATGTTGATCCTTTTCAAAGGCAGTGACTCCACTAGGTCTCCCTTTTGAAGGTCCCATCACCTCTCAACATTGCCACACTGGGGACCAAGCTTCAACACATGAACCCTTGGGGATATTCACACCATATCAGAACTATAGCGGCATATTTTTTTATTTGCTTTGTAATTCTGAAGGGGCGGTATTCCCCTAACCTTTCATGTGGCCTTCTTTTGTAGAAGAACGCTGCTAAGAAGTGCTGAAGTGGCAATGAAACAGCCCAACAGGAAGAGAAAGCTTGGCATGGATTCCAAAGAGCACTTGGATCAGGATGGATGCTTGGTGAGATGTTGTCTCCTGGCCCTTCCTCACAGTCTGCAGTCACTGTTGAAAAGCGCTGTGGAATGGTGCAGCTCATATAACCAGAATTGAGCAGTATTTTCAGTCACTTAAAACTGCTTGCTGCAGTTGAGTTTTCACGTAACTCTATAGTATCATTAAAGTTTGGTACATTTAAAAAGGTAATCTTAATTTTAAAGGTGAAAGAAGATCATTATCAAATAGGGGAATGGAGACTATTAACTGTAGGTGGTTTTATTAGGGTTCTTCAATGAAATAGAACTAATAGAATATCTGTCTGTCTGTCATCTATCACCTGTATGTAGAATTATTTTAAGGAATTGGCTCATGCAGTTTTGGGGGCCAACAAAATCTGCAAGGCAGGCTGGAGGCTCAGAGAAGAGGTGGCATTGTGGACTTGAGTCCCATATCAGTCTGGGGGTAGAGTTTTTTCTTTCTCTAGGGCCTCAATGTTTTTTCTTATGGCTTTCCGCTGGTTGAATGAGGCTGACCCACACTATGGAGGGTAGTTTGCTTTTCTCAAAGTCTACTTAATTAGATACTAATCACACCTAAAAAACCCTTCACAGCAACTTATAGACACCTAGAACGTATAATGTTCATCATGTATCTAGTTCCCTTCCCTGTGCTGTTTCCTTGAGACATCTTTATCTATTTCAGGGAATTTAAAAGTTGGCAGTATGGCCCAGAGACATCTCTAGTGGCTATTTTTGGGATAGTAGACAATTAACAGCATCCTCAATTGTGTTTCTTCATGGGCTCTCATCATTTATTTGGGTTTGGGGTCTTCATATGGTCTGTGGTTGTATATTTAGACATTATGCTTGGTGAAGTGACATAAAGGAGGACATTTTGTGGTTCAGTGCCAGGTTTGGTGTGGTTAGATGAACCCTAGACATAAGTACTGGTTTGGTGTGAGCTTAGTTTCAAGATGTTAATTATAATTTGGTAACAAGCTTAAGAGCTGTTTCCTTGGGATCAGCCTTGCCGTGAGGTAGGATGATCAGGATAGAGCTGAGCCCAGCTCCCTCGGTGGTTGCATCTTTAGATCAATGCCAGGAGAGTTAGTGCTCCAGATGGACTGCAGAGAACACTGGCTGTTTAAGAGGTCACTTGGACCAGACCTACTCAGCATTTTGCCTTTCTGATGCTTTGTAAGGATGCCATTTTTTTTTTCAGTGCCTTTGGTTTGCTGTGTCGTGTGCCCTCTGAAGAGACAGAATATGAGGAGTTGATGTGTTTAGTACTCCTGTGGTCCCCACACAGCAGCACCAGCATATCCTGGGGTTTGTTAGAAATGCACATTCATTGGCCTTAATCCAGAACTGCTGATTCAGATCCTCTGGGTGGGGCCCAGCAATCTATATTTTAACAATTGAGCAATTCTGGTATCTGTTGGTTTTTTTTTTTTAAGAGAGAGAGAGAGAGAGAGAGAGAGAGAGAGAGAGAGAGAGAGATACAGAGAGAGAGAGAGAGAGAATTTTTTTAATGTTTATTTTTTTTTTTAGTTATTGGCAGACACAACATCTTTGTATGTGGTGCTGAGGATCGAACCCGGGCCACATGCATGCCAGGTGATCGCGGTACCACTGGAGCCACATCCCCCGCCCATACCTGCTGTTTTTTGAGAACTATTGTCCTAGGGTATAGCTCTGCATTGTGCATCGTGCATCATGCATCTTCTAAGAGTATTATAGTGAAATACATTTCATTGCATAATAATTGCAGATTGTATGCCTTTTTTTGGCCAAAAAGAAGTGGGATGCAATCATTATGTGAAGCTTTTAAAAAACCCCAAAACCCTTTTCACTCAAAGTTCTATTTCCATGCTCTACAGTGAACATAATCATTTTCAGCTTGAAGCCTGCAGAATAGTTTTATATTTATCCATAATCATAAAGAAATGCTTCATATATTAATGTATCATCAGCAGATGAACTGTACAGCTTAGCTGTGGTGGGAAGATGTGAGTCTTATTATATCATGTGACTTACTCGAGGCACCTTTACTTGCCCATGTGCTCTCCTTGAGCCTGTGGCTCTTCATTTGGTTGAGTGACAACACTTTTAGTACTGCAGCACTCTAAACAAACCATACAAATTGACTGACAGTTCACATTCACTGAGAATTCTGGGCTCAGTGCTTGCAATACTGGAGGAAAAAATGGGTATTCATATGCCACTGGTGAATACATTGCTGATATTTTGACCTTTTTAGTGACATGAGCAACAGAACTATACCATGCAACTATTTCATGATGAAAGGTCATCAACCAGTTTCTGGACTGAAAAAACAGGGTGTGATGATTAACAGTTGAATGATGAAATGCAATTATCAATTCTGGCTCCTTCATTTTTTTATATTATTTTAGTTTAACATTTGAGGACACTGCCTSTCTTTCAAAAATATTTAGGTCTTTAAATCAGTGTCATTTGTCTTTAAACTGCTAAGATTATCACTTTCTCTCAGTATTCTTGTTCTATAACCTTGATATTAACTTTCTGTCTGTTAGCTTTAGTACAAATCCCTATTTTCTCTTATATTCCAAATCAGTTTCTAACTTAATCCTGATATGTTTACCATTATTCCTGCCCTAAAGTGGAATTTTCCCATTTTTTGAATTTAAAAAGTGCTGACAGGTGTGCTTTAGTGTGGGGCCCTGAATAGCTGGATTTCTGATAGTATCTGTTAAGTAATGTTCTTGGTGTCTAATGGGATTTTTAGGCAAATGGATTTCTTGGATTAATAGCATGAAAATTATTTTTCAAAAGACCATATTACAATTTAAATTTTAAGGTGTTTGGATCACATTGTTATTTTAACAGATATTCTCATGGGATAATTAAAAGGTGCACATTGAAAATGAGTTTCACATTTCACAGTCACTTTGAGGCTCATTGCTAGTTACAGTACCTATTTTCATCAGTTGAATTCAACAGTAGAGCTAGCTCACATCAGGGCCTATCTATATTCACTATGGAGAGAGGAGCCAGTCATGCTTGGATATTTCTAGGTTCCTTAAAATATAAATAAAATCCTTTGCTTTTGTGTTCACTTCGGATTTTATAAGTAACATTTCCTTTCAACCAAGTAAAAGCCCACTGGCAGATTAAATGTGTAAAGCATCAAGCAAATGCACAGTTGGACATTCCTAAACATCTGCTTCTGAGACAGTAATTTAATTTTTTCAATATCCAATAATTTCGAGATGCTAATAGTATCTGTCAATGAATGTTTTCCTGGATTAATATTTTCTAAGTATCTCTGTATAGAATTTTAAAAATATTTATGTATACTCTTCAAAGTACAGTTATATGCCAGTGCAGTGTCACAAGCCTGTAATCCCAGTGGCTTGGGAGGCTGAAGCAGGTTGTAGGTTTGAAGCCAGCCTCAACAACTTAGTGAGACTGTAAACAACCTCAGGAGACCCTGCCTCAAAATTAAAAAATAAAAAGAGATAGGGATGTGGTTCAATGGTTAAGCACCCCTCAGTTCAATTCCTAGTACCAAAAACCAAACCAAAACAAAACAAAACAAAAACAAACAACCAAATCATTTGGTTAAAAAAAATCAAATAGTACAGTAAGGTATTGAAATGAGATGTAAATTCTCCACCATACCCAATCAAATGTGTACTAACCTGCCAAGGATTTTTGTGAAAGTGGGACCATAGGACCACTGTTGATCATTTCTTTTATATCTATAGCACACAAAAACAAAAGAGAAAGTTAAAAACCCACACCTGCTATGCACATAAACATACACATCACACAATACATATCCCAAGTGGGCTCATATTCTGCACATTGTTCTGTATTGCCTTTTTTGCTATTATTACATGTATCTTGGAGATGTGTACCTTCTTATTAGTTTTGATGGTACACAGTGTTCATTCTGTGAATATACCATAATTTTTAAATAGTTCTTTACTATGAGGATTTGGGTTATTTTTATTTTTGTGGTTAAACACCACATTACAACTAGTTTTCATATTCATATGTCTTTTTGATCTGGGAATACCTTTGCAGTTGATTCACAGATAAAACCTTATCAGTGGATTTAAAATTGAAAATATGGATTAACCATTCAAGATCATCCTGCAGAGAGGTCACCCTAGTTTATCTTTTCCCTAACAGTATCTGCCAGAGTGCTGCTTTTCCTTGGGTTTTATTACTTGTCTCATATCTTTGCTCACTCATTTCTTCTGTGCACGTGAACTTTTGTTTCTGGAACTGGTCTCCTTAATGCTGTCCTATGGCAGGAAAGAATACCCTTGAAGAAGGTATTCTTTGAAACTCCTTGACATATTATGCCTTTGTGCAGCATCCAGCACAAAGATCAGTGTCATTTTGGGTGCCCTTTCCTAGCTTTTTCCACCCACCTCCATTAGAATTGACTAGCATAGTGTAGGCAGATAGTAGTTGGGGAAACAACATTTTTTATAGTAATTTTATAGATGTTTAGTGTGTATGTGGGTGTTCTGGGCACAAAACCCCCAAACATTATGTAGGCTTTAAAATTTCAAATTTCCTTCATAAAAGTGCAAGTTTAACAAATAAAAAGGATGTTTTGTTTCACTGTACAGGAATAAAATATATGGCTTCCTATTGTGTGTATGCAATATCTGACATTAAAGAAATGTTTGTTCCCATTCTCTCTCTGAACCTTCTAAAATCAGCAAATCAATGTTTAAATATTGAGTTATAAATTTTGGAAGATAGAGATATGAGATATTTTTATTTCTCTAAAGAATTTTAATATCTTGCTAAATAAAAGAGAGCTAACTTCTGTAGACAAATACAGTGTGACTAAACAATTATGGAGCACATTAGTGCTCTAAGGTATGGTTACCTTTCAGAAAAAGATAGGTCACTGGAGCCTTGGTCTGATCTTGAAGTATGTAGAGTACCTTGGATGTCCATATGTAATACATTCTTCCTCTGGCTTTAAATCCATCCTGGCAATTACATTTACATAGTAAC